GACTTTCCATTCCAAATTAATGCGAGCTGCCTTAGAGTAAAAAGCTTGGAATCGGCGCAATTCACGGAGAAAGGTCTTCGTAAATCTTAGCAAGGAATTGCTGATGACTACCACTGTCGCTGATTGTGCTGTATATAACTACTACGGTAACGATTATGCGACAGATATACTTGGCCCTCCTGGGAAAACATGCTATTTTGTCTTGGCCACCCTCTCATTTAAAAAGCTGCCGCATGTTGAGATAAATTAGCTTATCCAATCCAAGAGTTATCACCGAAAAAAACTTGTCGGACACTGGTAGACTGGATTTATATATAAAGGAGTTAGCATCGCAGAAACATCAAGTACCCACATGCCACTATTTGGCACAAATTAGCATGACCCTAAAAGTGATATGATTAGGTACCTGCCACCTAGCACACCAATAGTTTAGGAATAGATTTGGCCCAGTATTTCCTCTTTGCTTATATGCAGTAAGGGAGCTCAGAGGAGCATTGTGTGTGTAGGGGGGGGGGGGGGGAGGTAGGTCAGCATTGAAGGCTCGGGCCCGCCGAAAGTATATAAAGTGACGCCCCTGACTGCACAGTGCGCGGTCCATTGGGCCCTGCCGAGCGACGAGGGCAGCACGCCCGGCAGCACGCACGCACGAGCAGCACGTCCGGGCCGTGTGACATCACCAAGCTTGGGGCAGGCCAGCTGCTGGACCTGAGGTCGGGGGTACGTTCAGGCCAGCGAGCGCCACTGGTTGAGCTTGGGGGACATGAGCCGCCCGGGGGTACGTCCAGGCCAGCGTGTGCCGCTGGTCGAGCTCGGGCTAGGTCAGCCACTGAACTTGAGGTGCCCGGGGCACGCCCAGGTCAGCGTGCGCCGCTGGTCGAGCTCGGGCTAGGTCAGCTACTGAACTTGAGGTGCCCGGGGCACGTCCAGGCCAGCGTGCGCCGCTGGTCGAGCTCGGGCTAGGTCAGCTACTGAACTTGAGGTGCCCGGGGCGCGTCCAGGCAAGCGTGCGCCACTGGTTGAGCTTGGGGGACATGAGCCGACCGGGGCAGACCCACGTCAGCGTGCGCCACTGGTCGAGCTCGGGCTAGGTCAGCTACTGAACTTGAGGTGCCCGGGGCACGTCTAGGCCAGCGTGCGCCACTGGTCGAGCTCGGGCTAGGTCAGCTACTGAACTTGAGGCGCCCAGTGCACGTCCAGGCAAGCGTGCGAGTCTGGTTGAGCTCGGCCGAAGTTAGCCATGGGGCTGCGGTCGGTGGGTAGGTGGGATGTGACACGATGATCACCGAGCCGAGTTCGAGACGCGTTTCTGTTTCAGACACAAATCCTGCTGGTGCCAGCGGCATGGGGGTTTGTAGAACGTGAACATCTTTGCTAAGTTTGCTATGTGTATTGGAAACGATGAGTGAAGGCGGATAATGTGATCTTTTTGTCTAGGTTTATCACGATTATCCTGCTGCAATACATATGCCCCGTGGTGCCATTTGTCTTCACGCGTTGCAATATGACCTCCCCCTTTGCTTGCTCACTCCTCTGGAAGGAGAAGGCTTCCAAAAACACGTCAGGGACCTTTCCATAGCAAAGGATGCAATGCTGATGAGATCGCAAGGCCTGGATAGCGTGCAATTTAGTCCACAATACAATCCTCTTTTTGCAATCTTATATCCTCTCAACCTTTTTCATTACCATCATGAAAATAAAAAATAGCATTAAATTCAAAATAAATAAATAACCATAATCAGCATTAAAAAACCATAGCATGTATTTTTCCAGGGGCTATATATCTGATCCAGCTTTCCTCTTCTGCCACAAGAATACCTCTAAAACAAAGCGGATGCATAAATACATCGTGTGATGTTTTCTTTCTATACTCCGGCTGTGAATAAGGGTATTGAGCAGCCGTTCCTGGAGGAGGGTGATGTTATTCATCCGACACACTGGGGATACAAACATCACCATCATTAACGTATTGTTTTATCCCTTTGATCTTGCGCGACCCTCGAAATGTTACTAGGGTTGGTATTCCACTGCAGAAAAAGATGAACAAACTGTCGCCAGGCGGGCTCTTCTCTCTTTCAGTTCCACCACCAGATTCCAGCACCACTTCGCGATGCGCACCGCTAAGTGGCTGCAGCACTGGAAGGGACTGGCCGCTCTCATTATCAATAAAAAATTCGCACGAATTAAATATTAACCCGCCTGCTTTTTAAATGTACGAATTGACGACTGTAATGACTCAAAGGTACCTTTTTCAGATGCGCTATCATTTTCGTCCGCCTGTTGGCCACCTCTTAGTCGGGGCGTCGGGGCGGGACCGACTCCGCGCGGCCTATGGAGATTCCAGCGCCTGGTGTGAGGGTTTTCGTTTCGAAATTTGCGAACGCGCATGTCTAAACTACGCAACATAATTTTTTCAACCTATCGATTCTGATTAAATAATGAGCATTCCCTGACGAACGTGACCTGACCATGTTAATACAAAATAGACCTTTTTTGAGGTGGCTGTCACCACCAGGGGACCATTTGTCAACCATTTATCCCCCTCCCCTCCACCTGTTGCCAAAGCCCTGGCTGCGCTCCTGCAGTGTACCTAAATCATACCACTTATCTGAGATGGAACGCTACGTTGCCAACTGTCTCACAACTCCAAGAGAGAGGCTCAAACCCGGAAAGGAGCCCGTTTGTTGATGCATTTTTGAGATAGGCTAAGTCATCACCACATCAGTCACCAGTCATCTATTTGACCGATCGGACCTGCTTGTTACTTCGTGCCCCTGCGTGGTCCGTAACACACGTAGTGTGGCAGGCAGTAAATTTTGAGGTTGTTTGCACCACATGCATGGTGTATTTTCCGCCGGCACAACGCGAAGGACGTTTGCTTCTGACAGCCTTGTGTTTCAGCGCATCTGCGACAAAGTGCGCCATTTATCGCGCTACGCTTTTCGTGCCCCTGCGTGGGAGGGGGAGGCACCGCTTGCAGTTGGATGGAGTCGATGATTGTGCGCTGTGGTCAGCAGAGGTGAGTCACCACATCGCGGTCTCCTGAACCGATATGGATTTTTAAAGCGGTGTTAAAAAGAGCTAGAACGTAAGCAATTGGAATCGACATACTTGTTCCAGGCTATTTTGTCCTCTGGTAATGTTCTCCAACGCCACATGACGTTTTGGCTATGACGGAATTTGGGGTAGCACATGGCGTCTTTGCCAGTGTTGGAGTCTGAAACCTTCCCATTCATCTTACTTTTCATGGCAGTTTTTGTGTGCCACGATATTGCTGTAAAACAGGCTGAAGGCAAGTTTCCTTTAAGCCTTACATGATGCTCAAAGTCAGCTTACTTTTTAACTTAAATTCTGGTGTTTGTTCATGAGGTCATGTATGCAATTTGTCTCTCATTCTGGTTGATTGAACTAATTTCTCTGATATCTGCAGGGTAAATGGTAGGATGAAATATGGGGCTGTCCATAGAGGTGCAGCCAGAATTTGAGGCAGGAGGGAATACCATGGCTTGGTACAAGAGAGTTCATCATCATTTACAACAGGGGCCTGGGGGACTTATTTTTATGAGCTTGGCAGCATTTATGCACTGATAATAAAGTAACGGACCCAAAAAATGCTGGTAGGTACAGTAACTACATCAATGGGCCATCAATACTGGTTTTCCCTGACATTTTACACAATTATTTAAGTTTCATATCACATTTTTACTCAGCTTTCTGTTGGTCTTGTCACCAAATTAGGGCTATTGGATGCTATATGTTGCTGCCCATGATAGTGTGTATTATGATTATTAATGAATTATTGAATATCTGAATTCTGTAAATGTGTTTCATCATTTCATTTGTGTAGGGATGATTTTTATTCAGCTTTTCGGCTTTGGTGAGCCAGAATTATCGGGCTGCTTTGCTCCTTGGTGTTGTTTTATGTCAGGTAGTGAGGAAAATTCTGTTCTACCCACCAAAACAGAACAAAATCATGCTGAAAAACATGCCCAGTTATCTAAGTTTTTACCTATGGTAGATGAGGTTTATCTCCCAGTTGCATATTAGCAGTAGGTGTACATTTGATTGCTGGATGTCTGTTAGATTAGTGTCCATTGTTGACCCTGCTCCACCCTGCAATGTTTTCCATGTGAGTGGCAACTCAGCAGTCATGACAGTCCAGTCAGTGCTAGGAATGAGCCTGCAGCAGAGCCTGTGCACGTGCATGCTGTGCTCCACTGGGTGCAATGCTCCCCTGGCACTTCGAGTGCTCAGGAATCTAGGAGTCATATATTCAAGTGTTCTGGTGTCATATAAATGGATTCAAAACTGATGATCTGATAGAGAGCCCAGCTCATAAGCCTGCTTGACTGGATGGAACATTTGTTCAGTTAGAACCTTTATGATGGTCCGTGTGTGTTAGATATGCGCAAACAACTCTGGCCTGTAAGCTGTGCTGCAGTTAGTGAGAAGGACTTTGTGATGTTTATACTTGGGACACATAGTGTGTGGTGTCTCACATGTTGCCTGCATATTTGCACTTATAGCTTTCACTCTACCATGCTTTTTGTTCTTCAGATATGTAATGTTCTGTGGAACCTATGCTTAACAAAGCTTGCACATGACACATATGCTTGAAACACAAACATCCAGTCATGATGTGTCAGCTTGGCTTGTGTAGACATCCTCCCAAAACTGAAAAAGCAAACCCAAAACAAAGTTTTGTTTTGACCTTGCAGGTCTAGCTTATTTTCTTTCTGTTATGTAAAAAGTTATCAAAGTTTATCATTCCAGTTATCAAGTATTTGATGTTTCAAGGTACCCTAGGGTGATGTTTGGTGTTAATGAAAATTTGAATCAAATTTGTATGTTTTCAGAAATGTGCTGCTGTTAAACATGAATTTACTTTCCCCCACAGATATCTGGAAGTGCATAAGAAGTCATTGGCACCAGCCTCTTGTGGAGCTATACTGGGCATCGGGTGCTGAAACATCATGAAACCATCTGTGGTGGCTGATGAGATGTTCCCAGACAATGCTGCCAATCAATTTATGGATGTCTCCATGGAGGAGGTCAGTGCCTCCCAATAGTCACAATGAAATTGTTTTCATGTCCTTATTAAATGATTTGCCCTGGTTTTCAATTGTTATAAATCATCATGTATTTATGGGTGATGGTACAAGATTATTGGACCTCGTAAGATTCTTATGCCAAGTGTTGTCATTGACATTTTTGTTTGGCAGCTTATGCAGCACATGATGCTGTGCAGTATGCAATCAGTTTATCACCACCACCACAGGTGTAGTTATGAAAGATCCAATACTCTTATCTGTTTTTAAGGTTCTAATATTTTTGTCCAGTTGTGTTCATTAACGGACACATTTTTTGGGTAGGCAGGTTGTCACCTTCATTCCCATTCACAGAACATGTCTGGCATGGACCGTACCGGCATCTTGGACCTGGCAGGCAATGAGAAGATAGTACATGCGGACTTCCCCAACAGTGAGTTTAGGCAGTCAGCTGTTTTTTTCCCAACAACAGGTCGATTTTGATATGAGATTGGGTGTGCAATGTGATTTTGATGTTATATTAAATAAATTAGGCTGCTTTCAAAGTCTAGAAAGGCTGTTTGGATTTGCGGGAAAATTGTGGGCATACTACATTAAAGAAATGATCACCACATAATGCAAATCCAATATCCACAGTAGCACCATCCTTTTAAGCAAATTTGCATTTGCCTGTGCATTTTGGAAGACTTTATGCTTTTGAAATCCCCACAGAGTTCCTGACACATGTTTCTCAGTGAAAATGGAAGTTCATTTTGGCGCTCAATTTCTCATCCTGGTATTTCGATGATTTGGCAATAAAGCCATTGATTATGTAATTCCTGAAAGGCTGGGCTACACAACAGTGTTAGCATACGAGGGGTACTTCCATGCCTGAGCTTGCGCGAGTCCTCTCGTCCGGCCGCTCGACCGCAGCCCGATGCTGGTCGCCTTCTGTCGGACCACGGCATGGAAATACGAGAGACCGCTTTCAACAGCGTGGCGGCATGCGATATGCGACGCAAAACGTCATCACGCTCGTGGGCACATTACCTGGCCAGAGCGGAGTGGCATAGAGTGTCACCATGTGTGTACCTGGCTGCTGAGATGGAGCTGGCTGAACCAAACACGAGTGCAAGGACTGCGGAATCAGACAAAGCCGATTTGACTAACCTAAAAGGGATTTTAAGGTTAGTCAAAGCGGTGCGCGGGAAAGCAGGGCTGAGCACTGGTCTGAAATAGCCACAATAGTTTCTCCGAACCGCCGATAATCAGAGATTTCCTGATTTGTGTCACGCTGCCAGTCAGCAGAAGCAAGCGAAATATGAAGGCAGACATTAATAATCGCTCTACCTGGGATCGAAATTGATCAAAACCGTGACTGTGAAGGCCATGAAGTCGCGAGGGAGATAATGAAAACGCCGCCGACGGCGGAGTGTTCCTTCTGTACCGCGGTCCAGTGAAGACACGAAAGGAAGACTGTAGGCCGGAAAGATGACAGAGCTCGACTCGTCACCGGCCACAGTCAGAGTTATTCGCCTGATACGGATCTGCAACAGGCTGGGAATTGGAGCGCACGTGACAAAAGTAGACAACGCGCAAACGCCCTTCTGAATCTCGCTCACGTGGGTGCGCACACCACATGTGACGAAATGACATCCGTATTCTGCCATTACAACGCCAGAAAACGGAAGTCAAATTTGCCTGTCGCGCATCTCCCCCATCCTTACACGGCGTTGCGCGACATTGAGTGCATATGTAATCTAGGAATAGTTCCATTAGTTTTTGTTTGGAATGTTGTGCGCACATTGTTTTAACGTGCACCAGCGCCGGCCTTTAAATTTGCACCTGTCATTACGTGAGGCGGTAAAGGAGCGCTTCGTGTCTGTGTGAAGCCGGTGAAAATAAGTTGTCCGTGGGTTTGTGGAATGAGCTGGGGCTGCGATAAAACGGATCCACTGCTTTTTACTAGCTGGCGAGGCAAGGCATCGTCTTAATGACCTTGAACCAAGGCATTCTGACCTTGCGCGTGAGGTGTCTCTGAGCAAGCTCTCTGTGAGCAGAGGCCTTTGGCCTCCAGCTGGAGAGGCGTAGTGGTGCTGTATGGCAGTATGCGTGTTGGCTGGGTATATGGCGAGGGCTCGGCCTGCATTGCCGTTAAGTAAGTTTACTCGGTAAGTAACCCAGAAAGCCCTTGATCTCCCGGCCTTTCAGCATTAGTCAGTTTAGCGTGTTCATGCTGCGAATCATCAACCTGCAATATACGACAATATGCTGGCTAAACGACGTTATCAATCAGTTATTGCTTATGCTGACTCTGCTCGACGTTTGAAGTTGTGCTTCTGATCACGAGTGTATCATTTTTGGAATCTTGCGTGTTTTGACATATTTGCTTGATGACGGCGGTTAACCAGTGTCTCCCGGTATATGCAAGGTCGATAACTCAGTATTAGAACGCTGAAGTGATAAATCAATATGTCTGAGTAGCCAAAGACTCGCAGACCGTTTTTGGCCAAACCGGAGTACGTCTCTTACGCTGTATGTGACAGCGGGTGAACTATAGACATCAGTATTTTGTATATCTTGTTTTATAAGTAAGAACACGGTTTGATACGGGAGCGACCGGCTGCAGGCTGACTAGCATGCTTTTGGGCGGACGGCGTGTGAAAAGTTGTGGCATATTGCATCGTAGTTAAAATGTCCTATGCGTTTGAGGATGTCAAAGAGCATAAGTAAGCGCAGGTTTTACCGAGCATTACAGTCTGGCAGCCGCAGCGGAACGTGTTTTCGCCGTGGGCAAAAGGATATTGGCATAGTTGGCCGCTAGAGGCGCTGCTGTTGCCGGCAGCAAAAAATTCGCTTTTTGCAGAATGTGGAAACATGTGGCCCTACGAATGATTGTCAGATTTAATGGTTTCTCTAGTAGTGTCACCGTAACCTTAGATACATTATGTACCGTGTCCCGTGACCGACAGCAATCCAGGTTGGGTGCAGACCAATACACCGCGTACGCCGTACGACGAGCAAGACAAATGGAAAAGTAGTCCGTTGTTATTGTGTAGATAATGTAGCAAAAAAGCGTACGGAGTCAAACACTTTCGGCAGCCAATTCAGATAACAATGGGTGTGCTGGACGTTTTGGAAAACTGACGCTGTTGGCAATAAAACGGGCGGAGAGCCCCTGCTAGCAAAACAAATGGATGCAAATTCACGACGATATTGCGACAAAAATGGCGGGCGCAGTGTCGGGTCCAGTCAGGCTCATGGTTGGTGAAAGTTGATGAAGGCAAGGATATTGGTGAATTGCAGTCGCGTTGTTGGTAATCGTGCGCAGATTATTGGTAAGGCGTGTCTATTTTGGATGGATATTAATGACAATAGACAGGGACACACTCACGCCGTGCTATCGAAACCCTCTCGGATGAGGACACGCGTCTTTTAGTCGAGATTGGATGGGAAAGGGCAGCCTCAGGTCGCTGACCGGCCACTTACGGGGACGCAGATGGATCGAACAGCTGTGAGATCCGTTTATGAGTCGTCGTTGGCACAGCCGCCCGCAACCGACACGCTCGGCACACTCGCCCGGGCCGCAGAGTTGTTCTCACACTTTCATCTTTGCCCCGAACTGCTGGGGGCGGTTGGCTTGGAGGTGCTGAACTGCTGGCGGCGGTTGGCTTCGGGATGCTGCACTGCTGGGGCGGTGGCCATGGGGATGATGAGCTCTGACACCAATCCCTAAAAACGCACCCAAACTGGCTCATATATGGCGTACACCCGAAAGCTCGTCAGTCTGCTTACATCGACGCACACTTCTGCCGATACGCCTTCTTCTCCGTCAGTATTTGCGTGATATCATGGCGTCGCCGAGCCGTCGAGGTGTGCACCTGGCTCCAACCAATGTTTTCCAGCTCTTTCGTGATATGATATAAGCTTTATTTGTGTGCGTGTTCATAAGAATTGGGAGTTGACGTAGTGGCGATGTTGCGATGATGCTGGAAACACAGCCTGAGCGAAGAGCTTGCATGTGGAGGCTTAACAATGCCCGTCTCCCCTCAGACTTTGGCGACCTGTTCGACGACGACGACCTGGAATGAAGCTGTGTGAGTCCCCTCCGTCTACCAGTGACGTCACCCGGCCGCCAGCCGGACGCCGGCGCCGCGCTTCGTCACTGCTCCTCCTTGTCGCGCCGTGCTGACAATTACAGCTGACCGCGAGGCTGACTAAACCCGACTTTTAATGGGCGGCAGAGTGGAGCCTTTAGACCGACGAAGTAGGAAGTTGAAAGATGAACCGTCGGCGCGGGCCGTTGGAGTGACGTCATGCATCAGCTGACGTTGCCTTGTGGGCCGAGTGACGTCAGACTTGCCGGCGTGGGGGCGGACACGCACACGGATCCTACCGTTTTCTAGCTTTTCTACTGGCTCTGGCTGATCGTCAGGCCGCCGTGATCTTTCCACGATCCATTTTGTCCACGGCAGCGCCGCAGCCGCTCTACACTGACACCGATCACGCCGGTTTGGAAGTTTCCCCCTGTGCCCGACCCACTCGAACGGAGCGAGCCAGCTCTCCACCCGGCCCTGCGTCAGCGCCGGCGGCACGAGCGCGGCAGCAATGGCGGCGCCGATCGAGGTGGTGCAGACGGCCGACTATTACGTGCTGGTGCGCGGCGAGCACAGCCTGTGGTGGCGGCGCGGCGACGGCGCCGTCTCGGCCGGCACCGCCTGGGACCTGGCCTCGGCCGTCGAGCCCGTCTGCCTCGGCGTCTGCGAGGCGCTGGTCGGTCCGCCTGCAGACGGTCGCCGGCGGTGAGCACCACCTGCTGCTGGTGCGCGAGTCGGCCGCCGTCGGCCCGCTGCCGGGCGGCGGCCAGGTGCGTCGGGTGACGCGCGTCGTGCAGCTGCCGCTGACCGCGGCGCCGCCGCCGGACGCCGCTGAGTGTCAGCTGACGCCGTGCGCGAAGCACGCGGGCACGGCCGGCGCGGCGCCGCCGGTGGCGGAGGCGCGCGCCGGCCTGGCGCGCACCTGGGGCCTCATGAAGACGGTGACGACCCGCGTCACGGCGGCGACGGTCACGGCGGCGCAGACGGCCGGCGCGCAGGTCAAGGAGCGCGTGCCCGGCCTGCGCCGGCCGCCCGCCTCCAGCCCCGTCATGGACGAGGTGCTCAAGCTGTTCAACGACGCCGACGCCTTCTACTACTGCGCCGATGGTGACCTGACGTCGTCGCTGCAGCGGCGGCTGGACGGCGCCGCGCCCGACGAGCGCTTCTGCTGGAACTGGGCCATGACGGAGCCGGTGCGCGCGCTTGCCGGCCGCCGCCGCCGCCGCCTGGCTGCAGCCGCTCGTGCAGGGCTACATGCACGTGAGCGAGATCGCTGAGCCGGACGGCATGCTGCCGCCCGGCCTGCGGCTCAGCCTGCTCTCGCGCCGCAGCCGCTTCCGCGCCGGCACGCGCTACCGCCGGCGCGGCGTGGACGCCGACGGCTGCGTCGCCAACTACGTGGAGACGGAGCAGGTGCTGACGTGCGGCCGGCACCACCTCAGCTTCGTGCAGGTGCGCGGCTCGGTGCCCGTGTTCTGGGCGCAGCCCGGCTACAAGTACCGGCCGCCGCCGCGGCTCGAGCGCGACCCGGTCGAGACCCAGGCGGCGTTCCGGCGCCACGTGGACGGCGAGCGCGAGCGGTACGGCGCCGTGCACGCCGTCAGCCTGGTGGACCAGACCGGCCGCGAGGCGGTCATCGCCGACGCGTACCTCGACCACGCGCTCACCTACGACAGTCCCGAACTGACGTTCACCGGCTTCGACTTCCACGAGCACTGCCGCGGCCTGCGCTTCGAGAACGTGGCGCTGCTGCTGGCGGCGCTGGCCGACGACGTGCAGGCGGCCGGCTTCGCGTGGGCCGACGAGCGCGGCGCGCTGTGCCGCCAGCACGCGGTCTTCCGCGTCAGCTGCATGGACTGTCTGGACCGCACCAACGTGGTGCAGACGGCGCTGGCGCGCGCTGCGCTCACCGCCCAGCTGGCCAAGCTGGGCGTGGCCACGCCGGACGGCCTGCCGGCGCCGGTGCGCGCGCCGTTCAGGCAGATGTGGGCCGACACGGGCGACGCGCTGAGCCGGCAGTACGCCGGCACGGGCGCGCTCAAGGCCGACTTCACGCGCACAGGCGAGCGGCGCTGGACGGGTCTGATGCGCGACGGCGTGAACTCGGCCAACCGCTACTACCTGAACCGGTTCCGCGACGCCGGGCGCCAGGCGGCCATCGAGGCGACGCTGGGGCGGCCGCCGCCGGCTCGTGCCGAGCCGCTCGACGAGGACTCGTCGTCGGACGAGGACGAGCCGGACGGCGCGGCGGCCGTGGAGCGCGTGCGCCAGCTGCTGCTCGACTGCCAGCGCCTGCTCGTGCCCGACTCGGCGGTCGTGCTCGGCGCCTGGGGCCTCATCGACGCCGACGCCGACGCGGCCGACGCGGCCGACGACGAGCTCGACACGATCCTCGTGCTCACCGCCGACTCGTACTACGTCGCCTGCTACGACGAGGCGGCCGACCGGGTCGTGTCGTACCAGCGCGTGCCGCTGTTGGACCTGCAGGCCGTGGAGCTGGGGCCGCTGGAGGCGTCCCGGCTGTCGCGCGCCGCCCGGCCACCCTGCCTGCGCCTCTCCTACGAGATCAGCGGCGAGGCCGGCTACTTCCACCTGCTGCGCGCCACGCCGCTGCGCTTCTTCAACAACGTGGCCGTGAGCGCCGGCTCCGCTGAGGAGCGGGTGGAGACGCTGCGCGCGCTGGCGGCCGCACTGGTCGGCGCCGCTGACGCGGCTGGTCACCAGGTGCCGCTGTCGGAGGGCCGGCTGGACCGGCGCCGCTCGCGCGCCGCGCTGGCCAGCTCGCGGCGGGGTCCGCTCCGCTGGCTGGACGAGCCGCAGGCGGGCATCCGCACGGCCGGCTCGCGCGCCGTCACCAGCGTCGCCGGCTGGCTGCCGCAGCGGCTGCGTCTGTGGGACTGGCGAGCGCGGCGGTCGGCCGGCCGCGGAGGGCGCGCCGCAGTCGGTGACGCAGCGCAACTCGCCGGAGCGGACGGCACCGGCCTCCGACGACTTCCTCATCGACAGCGCCGGCATCATCGCGCGCTCGGCCTCGCCGGCCGGCCGGCCGCCGCCGGCGGCGGGTGAGGTCGAGGCGTCGCCCGAGCAGGCCGCCGCCGCCGCTGCAGCCGCGGCGACGGAGGAGCGACCGGCCGGCGTCGTGCCCGAGATCACAGTGTCGGGCGGCGAGCGGCCGGCCGGCGGCCTGGCGTTACTCGGCTCCGCCCTCTCGCCGCTGGCCAGCCCGGCGCGCGAGACCGTTCTGGTGGGCTTCTCGAAGCTGGCGCGCGGCGTGCAGCGGCTCGGCTCGGCCGCCGCCCAGCCGTCGGCGCCGCGCCGTCTCGAGCTCAGCGACCTGCTCCGGCAGCGGATCGCCGCCTCACGCACGCGCGTCACCCTGCTGTAGGACCTCTGGCGGCGGCCGAGGGCAGCTACAAGCGGCGTAGGAGCTCTGGCGGCGGCGTAGGGTAACCGGCGGCGGTGTAGGATATTTGGCAGCGGGGTAGGAGATCGTTCAGTGTCGTAGCTAGCGGGCAGCGCCGTAGGTCAGGCTGGTGCGGCTCCGAGAGAGGCTGACCGTCAGCAGGCTTACAACAGCTGAAGCGGGACGCAGCCGCGGGAAAGAGGTCTGCTGCATTGTCAGCGCGTGTCATGCTGTTCCAAGATGCAAACGATTCGCTCTCCCGGACCCCGTCGGAGAACTATGCGAACCTCGAGCTCTTCCATATACTCATGCAGCTGTCAGGTGTACGGCACGTAGCGCGCGCGGCACCGCACAATCTGGAACATGTCGGCACTCTGACAGCGCGCTAGTCTAGCTGACGGGCGCCGGCGTACTGTCAGTCCGCAGCCGCCGCGGGAGCGGCGGCGCGTCGCACATTGTCAGCACAGCGGGGAGGGGCGGGCTAGTCGTCCAGGGAGCATCGTCAAGTCGAACAGCCTGCGTCGGTGGGGCGACCGGAAGCCGGCGCCGCTGCAGGCGAGCAGCGCACGGCCGCGAGCGCCGTCTGACGGCGCAGCGACAAGCAGCGTGCGGCCGCCGGGCTCGGGCCAGCACTCGCAACCAAAGACGCGCGTCACTCGGCGTTAGGTCAGATCTGTGGGGGACCGGGCGCGGCGCGCGGCCGTTGACGGCGGGGCAGAGGTCGCTCCACAGTGGCGGTAGCCGGTCAGTATTAGCAAACAGATCAAACAGCACGCGGTGTTTCGTAGCGATATCCGTGCGTTATCATTCCGGAGGGGCTGCTGGACGTTGAGCGTGCCTGATTGGTTCAATACCGGCAGGCATGTGGAGCAGGGGACGTCGGCGTGCTGGCCAACCCACCGCGGCACAGTTGTCAGGGCGCAGGGGCGGCGGACGTGTGCGGGCGTTCGCCAGGCTCGCGGCCCGCTGTGGCCGCAGCCGGCCGCGTCACGCGCCGCCGGTGCCCCGGGCGGGCCGGGCTCTGGGTCTGGGCCGCCAACAGGCGGAGCTGTCCCCCCCCCCTCTCCCCCTCTCGCGCCCGCGCGCACCGTCGGCCAACCGTACTTATCACACGAGCGGCCAGGGTACTTATCACAGAGCGCCGGGTCGTGGCAGGCCGACGCCGTGCGGCTGGCTGCCACGGACCAGTCCTTCAACGCCGTACTTAGTCGCAGGGTGGGGTGTCCGACGGGGATCTGGCGCGCGGTGTTGTCGGCTTGGCTTGGGCCCCGCGGAGGACGCGCGTCCGTCGCGTGATGTCGGCACCGACGACACCGTCGCTGCATTATCAGGGGAGGCGCACAGACCAGGGTGATGTGGTCGGATTCAGTATGATTTCGCAACATTTGGCTTGTATTTATGCCACAGTCATATGCAACTGATCAGTTTTTCCGTGAGTTTGCAAGCATAATGTTCTTTACGCGTTTGCTTACTGTGCATAACGGCAGGACGTGTGTTAGTGTGCTTATTCATTTTATGCTACGCTGAAGTGTTTGTGCTGGCTGGTACAAGTCTATGCAGCGATGTGGTACTATGTTCGTTGAGAATACAGCTGAGCATGCGCCGTGGCGGGATGCGTCGGAGATATGGATGTTGCTCTTGTAACGTTGAATTATGGCGTTATCACGCATTTGATGGTAATCACGTTGACACCTCAAGTTTGAATGACGAATTTTAAGTTGTATTTATCTTTTATTTAGCTCGCTTAAAACATTACCTCTCCGTGCATAGTACTACTGGACACGAGTAATTTGTTCGTGCCTTTATGGCTGGAGGCAACGGCTGTAGCTTAGTGACCATCCTCGTGTAGCGCACATTAGTGCGACGGCGCTGTGCCCGATGCGGCCCAGCTTCGAGCATCGCCCCGCCAGGCGAGCTCGGGTCGATGACACCGTTCGGTCGGCGACGGTCGGCGTTCTCCGTGAGTTCTCACAGGGCGCGCCTGCGGTGGCGGCGCGGCGAGGAGTCGTGACTGGTCTACTCCACATGCGTCGGGCACGGGTCTGCCACCGGCGCCTGGCGGCCGGGTTTCGGGTTGGTTCGGTGGCCCGGTTCGGGGACGCCGAGGGCGTGAGCCGCGCCCCGAACAATGCGGTACGCGCCACCTCCGCTGCGCTGCCAGCGTCATAATGCTTTCGTAACGCCACGCCGTCGGGGGAAAACACTCGCACGACCGAGATGTTTGCTGCTCGTTAGTTCGTTCCCGATTTATTTCGCGCGCCCAGAATCAGGCGCCGTGCCGGCAGCCGCCAGCGGCGTGATGTAAGGAGAGGTCGTGATTGGCCTGCCGAACGCTGGTCCCGGAGGTCCCCAGCGCCGCGATCGGTGCGCTGAGCCGGACTCTGGCGATGAGCCGCCATCGACCGGGCCGCCGCCGACCGAGCGACGTCGGTAGGGACATCTGTCGAGGGTATGTGTGACCCGAGCTTCAGCGCCTGTCGCTCTGCCCGCCTCGTACTCGCTGATGTGCCACGAGCACCATTGCCGCGGGCGACGGCATACGGATGTCAGCCGCGTTAGCATGAGATGATCGCTGCGTCTGCTGAACGGCAGAGTGGGGCGAACCTGTGAACAATTTGCGTTGGTGGCTGCGCGGCGTATCGTGTAAGCTGCTCCGTCCACGACCACATCCACGACACGACGCAAAGGACCTCAACTCGGATGACCGCATCGGCCGCTGCGACCGTGGCGAAACCCATGAGCGCTGACTCACTCGGCCGCTGGACGCAACCGAGGCCGTCCGGTGAACTCGGCCAGCCCGCCCTCGGTGCTGTGGGACAGGGAGACGGCGTGCGCTTTCCAGACGGCCTCAGCGTGACGACAGGGAAGCCCCGGCGGTGCCGCACACGCTCCGTGACGCCAGCTGGCAGTGGTAGGGATCGGACGTTCCAGTCCGATCCAGATCACCGTAGGAGTCGCGGCTGCTGGTCACTGCCGTCGCTTACCGCGTCTGTGGTCCGGTTCAGTCATGTATTGCCGGCAAGTCTCGCCTGTCTGTTGCATCGGTCACGTATCACGGTCGTATGTCATTATCACGGTCATCCGTCATGTATCACGGTCATCCGTCATGTATCACGACTCTATGCATATAAATGTCCTCTGTAATAAATATGGCCCAAACGCGCATGGCCGGGCAACACTCGCACGAAAACAGTTAACAAGTAACGATATCCCTGCCACAAACATGCAATACGTCCACTCAGCACAAATTCAACAGATGTGTTGGTAATGCATCGCTCCCAAGCGTCAACGTGGCTGAAATGTCCGCCACAATAGTCTGAGGCAGGGGCGGATAGGCCGTTGCGGTTCCAGGGCGGGCGTGCCACCGTGCCGCGCTGGGTCGGGGCCACACGCGCGGCACACCCGGGATGGAATGCGTTTGCCCACGTTGGACCGTGGTGACGGCCGAGCAGTCTTCCGAGTCTTCCACCCAGGTGTCTCCCGTGGTGATGGCACGCCACCTATTGCATCCTCGGCAACGGGGCCTGGCCTAGCCGCAGGCCGCCGGCGCGGTCGCCAGCACACCCCGCGTCAGCTCGCTGGAGGGTTCAGCCTCGGACGTCGGTGTGTGGTCCGGGGCCTGTCCTGGGCAGCTTGTGCGGCGCGAGAACGCGGTACGATTCACGGCCCAGTGACTTCAACACGTAACAATGTCGCTGGGGGAGACGCTGACGGCGTCACCGACGAACGACCAGCATTAGCTACACATAACAAATAATGCTCTGTAATCTAGACGGTGGTACGCATCTGAGACTTGCGCACGGCGGGCCACGGTGCGCTGCTGTCGGCGCACCCTGAAGAGGGCAGCCAACCGTGCGCACTGTTCCCACGCCACGCGGGGACAGTCGGCCCTGCAGACGCTGAGCTAAGCACTGGCTGCGTCATCGCCCGGCTTCAGCGGAGCGACGGTTCGCCGCGCTGTCGAGGCTCCCTTCATGTCACATCACGTCACGTCACGGCCGCTCCCCGTCACGTCCGGGCCGCTCGCCCGCCGGCCAGCGCCAGCCGGCCAGCTTTCACGGCGCGGCGCCCGGGCACGCGGCGCCGCCGGCTGGACAGCGGCCGGCGCCGGCAGCGACGTTCGGCCCGAGGTCACCACCGGGGTCACCACCACCCGGGGTCGTCACCAATCGGCCCGGGGTCACGGGAGCGGCAGCACAGACACAGATGCGCGTGCGCTCCGAGTCCGCACTGAGACCACACGGCGCGGATGCCGAGTCCGGACGGCTCCCATACGGAGTCCACACGATATTAACACCGAGCTCACATCAGGCTCGCTCGACGTGGAGACGGGGCCGTTCGTTTCGACCGCCTGGGCGCGGCGGTGCCCTCGGCCACGGCCGGCTACGAGGGCTGCTGCTGCGGTGCCGCCGAAGTTGCCGTTGGCTCAGGACCTGCCGGCCAGCTGCTGCTGCAGCCAGACTCGCAGGAACTCGGCGTTCTCGACGCCCACCACGTCGCGCAGCCAGCCGAGGTCGGCAGCGTCCGGCCGGCGCGCGCGCACCACCGTCGTGCCGTGGTTGATGAGGTATGTGATGAGCTTCATGCCCGAGCCGATCACCTGGCCCAGGTAGTAGGGCCGGTTGAAGCCGGCGCCCGCCTTGTTGAGCGGCCGACGATTGGGCCTCAGCGGCCGCCGCCGGCCGCCTCCCAGCAGCCCGCTGAACGAGCCGAACAGGCCGCCGAGGCCGGGCCGGGCGGGCGGGCCGACCGGCGCGCCGAACACGTCCGACTTCTCGATGGCCGGCGCCACGGCGCTGATCATGTTCATGATGAGCGGCGTGGCGCGGCTGAAGACGGGCACCACGCCCTGCAGCAGGCCCATGACGTTGCCCTCCTGGATGTAGGTGACGGCGTCGCCCAGCGCGGCCAGCATCGACGGCCCGTCGCTCTTGACCAGCTGCGTCACGCCGCCCAGCAGCTGGCCGAGGTTGATCTGCGGCGCGGCAGGTGGCGGCGCCGGCGTCTGGTCCACGTTGTAGTAGTACGGGTAGGGCGGCCGCGTCGG